TTGTCCGCCCCCGCGAAGAGAGCCTAGAGTTTGTTTGTCCCTTATTCAATAACCTGTGGCTGTCGGCAAGCACACTGCGGCTTTTGAGTTTAGGGCTATCGCCAGAAAAAGCAGTTCGTGCATTGCGTCAGCTCTGATCGTGAGCACTAGGCACGTCTGTCTAAAGCCTAGCTGCCGTTTGAGGATGGTTGGTGGAAATTGGACTTGATGCTCAGAGAAAATGCATAGTGTCGACTGGCTGAGGAACACTTCAAGATGTTCGCATGTCGGTAGGCGAGTGGATTGCTGAATGAAGGCAATGGCAAGTTGGCTGGTTCACATGCTCGAGTTGTTTCCTCTTCATATCCATCTAACTGCATCTGCAGTCAGATGCATGAGAAACACCAGAGATCAAGGGATATCCTAGTATCAAGAGAACTCTGAAGGAAATGGGAAGAAGAAACAACCCCGCTTTTCTAGGCAGTCTCGTTTCAGGTATGAGTTGCGAGAGTTCCTGAGATGGATTCGGTCTCTGGAACAACCCGATGCCAATGGTCAAGGAAACCAGTTCACGAGGATTTGGGCTGAGCACATGTTTGTCAGCGTATTGGGCCAAGCAAAAGATATCCCCAGTGGCCACGAGCCAGCCTTATCGAGACAAGCGAGCACCAGGAGCAGGGATGCTAGTTAAGTTTCTCTGCACCGCGGGCCATTGCCTCAACACGAGGAGGATCTGCCTGTGGCTTTCTGGGAACTTGGTGTGAGTGCAAATTCGCATCTGGAACATCTGAATGGTGCCCGCCTTGAGGCGAGAGATGCTCCAAGTCCAAGATGCCTCTAGCTCTTGAACTGAGCCCCACTATCAGACGCAAGCGCTTCTTCGGATCTTGATCGAAAAGCTCGTCGACTGAAAAACATTCCGATACCCATGACTTTCGGCGACGGCGGAGGCATAATCTCACCAAATCAGGTCAATCGTTTCATCCGACCCCCTCAGTAACTGCAAGTAAGGGGCGGCCAGCTGCTCCGCTTTCTTCAGAAGTTCAGGCAGAGCGGCAGGTTTATTCTGCAGATCATTGGGTTCTGGATGTGGTGTGGTGTGGTGTGGTGTGGTGTTGTTATTGTTTTTTCTTGTTGTTGTTTATGTTTATCTATTTATGGTTGGTTGTGGCTAATACAGTACATATGTACAACGTCTGTGGCAGGCCTCATCTTATGACAGTATGTACTATTGTTGATTTGAGAGACAGTCTTTGATCTGCAAGGGACGTTTATTACACGTGTATCTACGGAGTAGTTTCTGGAATATTGGAACAGAATATGGCATAATAGTTTGGGCTAGGTATCTTGGTCATTTATGCCAGTGCTCATCAATACCTAAACTACTACCCGCAATACAAGTGCGAACAGTCTGGGACCAACCTGGAAAGGAGCGAAGCATTAGCTTCGGCAACATGAACAACCACGGTCCTGTATTGCACAGAATGGGGAGATTTCAGAGAGCCACAGAAAGTAATTGCCCTCCGCCTTGTGTCTGTCTGGTACTGTTGAATAGTGCTTTTCATGTAAACATTGGTCTTGCAGATGCTAAGAACGGCCCGTATACCCCGGAGCACTACCCTACCAACTTAGCCATTCTGAACCATGATATTCACTTTTTTGTATGCAATGATGGAACATGATGTGATCATGAAAGTGTTTGAAAAAGACAAACAGCCTTGATTGCATCCATCGGACTTTCTTCCGCTCGAACCCTGCGCCACCTTGTCAATGGCAAGGTCCCTGAAGTTGGATCGACAAACTTTTTGTTTTGTTTGCTTGTTCTCTCTGTTCTTCATGCGTCAATAGTCCTAGGTACTTGGCGTTGCACATGATAGCCTAGGGCGGCCACAGACTGATGGACGTGGGACAAAAAGGCGAGTTGCTCATGCTCGTTTGGCCATTGAAAGACCTGCTGGCCTGCGGATATTGAAAGGCCGAGCACGCCATGGGTAATATCAAGTGCAGTCCCAAGGAGGAAAGGTGTAGAGGACAAAGCAAGCTGAAAACTGTCACTGATCTGTAATTGATACCAATTGCAGGCAGGGCCGCATCAAGCAATCGGGGAACTTGTTGCAGGCCTTGTCGCGAATTGGCTAGACAAATACGCGTGAAATGGCGAACTACTCCGGAAGATCATACTGTGGTAAGGCAGTATGTGTTGCTGTCGAATGATTGGCTGGAGCTGAAGACTTGCAATTGGAGTACAGACAGCATCATCAGAAATGCCAGTCAGTCAGATCTCAGGCAGTGCAATCATAATATGCAAGATACAAAGTCAGTGGGAACACAACCCCTATTTCCGTGACTGGAAATGTTATAATAGTACTGGCTGGTTCAGAGCAGACTTTGAGGGACATGCTGACATGTTCTCCTCTGTGGGCGTCGCGAATTGATACCCTATTTAGTATCTATTATGCCCAGGACCCTTTTCATAATCACCAATCCCTTGAATATCGTAAGGGTTTGTTGATAAACAGGGTCGCTGCCAGGGCCGCGCCTCCAACCCGGAGCGGCCCTGTGTGACAACAGGGGCGAGAATACATAGCTGTACACGTTGTATGATGCAGATGGATCGTTTGTATCTCATCCCCCAGCTGCTCGACGGCGAGAGGCATACGCGGGAACATCAGTCTTACAGGCGGATAGCGTCACCAGGGCCCTGTGACAACATGCTGGTGATACCAACCTACAGGTGCGGATAGCCTATGCTGTTATGTGGCAGAGCAAACTCCGGGGGCCCTTGGCCTGTGTTGACGTTGAGCAAGCAACGGACGGGGCCCGTGTATTATGTTTCTCGGTCTCTGACTCTACGGCAGGGATCTTGTGCTGCTTTGCTTTGTCCGTTCCGGGGAGTCTCCATCCCGTTGTGACCCCCGTCGTCGTCACCTCCGGGGCCGGGACGAGACGAAGATAGCGAGCGATTGAGCTCGAGGATCAAGGGCAGCTCGATGAGATTCCCTTTTGCTGGAGTACCTCGACTTCGATCCTGTATTATGGCATTGAAGATCGAATAAGCACCTCATTCTTCGTTCAGACCACCCGACTTTGATGCAGAAATACCGCTGTAGGGAGAGCCCGAGATGCAACCCCCGAAGGAAGCCAAGGAATCCCCCGGTGAAGTATCCCGTCCGGAGCTTCATGTACCAGGGTTAACAGCCACAGGGCGGTCGTGTTGCCCACTCCAGCCGTAAAAAGCATACCAAACTTCATGGGCATCGATCGGTTACAGGTCGAGAAAATTAAAGTTGATATTCCTTGGAATGGTAAATAACGGGTGGCCAGCCCCAGGCGCTAGATAATAAGCGTTGCATCTTTCCAGGATATTGAGATTTATGTTTGAGACTTTGAGGCATGATGGATCTCGTGTAGCAGCAAACTGGTAGACTACCAACAGTACTGTAGCTACTGACATACAATAGGACAATTGTAGTGGATGTTAGGTGTGCAATTGCATTTTAATCAGGATGAGCTGTGTCAAACCAATTTCACCAAACTGAAGCCGTCCTGCAAGTGCAGCAAGACTATTATCCACTGGAGGATCCTCATCTTGACCTTAGATCCGATTTACTAATGCTAAGCCAGTGTCTATGATATCAGATTCAGGCCATTGAATCAACTATTGTATGCAAGTCATGTTAATAATGGCTGCCCTCCACTCAAAATAGCAGGTCTAATCTCTCTTGCTGCTCAGCGCTTGAGACGTGCCCCGGCCCAGACCCAATCAATTCCAGGTTTCTCAGGCACTCGCCATATCTGGGCGCAGCGCCGCAGCGGGCCACCTGCAGTCTTGCTTGCACTGGACTGCCAGGGATAAGACACGTTCAGTGGGCTTCCCGGCTTTACAGGAGCCCTGAGGCCCGCAACGGCGCTAGATGCTCAGTGGCCCCCTCCGCTAATAAGAGACAAATGCAGGACCTGGGTGCCCTGGCTTCCCGTGGAGTCGCCGTCTTGATGTGCATCCCTGCAGAGACGATCCGTCCTCACCTAAATCTCACTTGTAATCTCCAGTTTGCAGGTAATGAAAAGCGTACGATTCGAGGGGCTCAGGGCGGCTTTTTCATTCATTTTTCATTCATTTTTATGTTTGTTTCTTCTCCCGTTTTATAATTGCTCAGGCTTCACTTTCGTCTCAGGGCTCAATTTGCCCGACGTACAGTCCCAGCTACCAGCTAACTTGCTCTGCTGTCAGGACATCCAGGAGAAAACAGAACAGGGCCAAAGAAGACGCTAAGCTTCTTTCCAACTTCAATTATTTCCAACTAAATAGTCTCTCCCTTTTCCACTGCACAAATCATTCGTTCGTTCTATAGGCCTAGGCGGTCCAGGTTCTCCATATCCATCTCCCCACTATCACTGGCACCAACACTGAAGTGCACTGTCGCTAAAAGGTAGGTACCTACTACCTACAGTACCTACCTACACATCCGCGGCCGCAGCTGCCAGCCAAGCTTTGTTTTCGACAGTCGCTCCCGCGACCTGAGCCTAATCAACCTCAAACTCTCAGCTCAGCCCAGAAGTTTCGTCTCTCATATTCCCTTTCCAAGCTCAAGCCCTTTCCCCGTCTTTCTTTAAACACCCTCCAGGAAGTCAGAGAGACATAAGCGACCGACTGACGCCGAGGTTCTATGGGGAGAGAAGGCATCCATTTGCTTGCTGTCTGTCTGTCTGTTTGCTTCGCATTGTTTTGTTTGTTCGGCCAGAATCAGATTTCGCCTAGCTTCTTCCCGACTTCGCATCGTTCTCCCGGGGCTACTCTTCCTTTCTCTCAAAGTCGGGGACCTTTGGAGCGCTTGGGTGTGTGGGTTACAACGGCTTCTCCTTGAGCCTTCAGGTTTGTTGCCTCCATTGAGAACTCTCAGGTCCATGGCTTGAACGACGATGAGCATCACCTCCGTTCCCAGCACCGCCATCCTCCGCCTCTAGAATGCTAGCCGCTGCATTCTCTCTCTCGCTTGAGTAGAGCGTCGGCTTCCCTCGCAATGGAAGCTACTATGCAGACCGTTCCAAGTGTAAGTTCGTTGCTAGCTTTGTCCTCCCCGCAAAACCAATCCACAATCACATCGAATCAACCAAGGATCATCACCACCACACCAGCCATCACATGGCGCTGTTATAGACTTTAACCTATCCCACCCCAATTCTGCCCCATCCTACACTTCTCTTGGATCACCTCAAACCCTCTTTCTAAAGTGGCTTACCCACCATCTTTCCTGTTGCAGCAGTAATTGACCGTGTTTATCTATTCAGCTTGTTGGAACCGGCACTGCCATCGCTGCAGCGGCCAGTGGTTTGGTTTTCGGCCAGCCCACCACTGAACCCAACTCTTTCTCTCACTCGACTCGACGTCCTTCTCATTCCAGACGAGTCTCGATAGACCGCGAGCCAAGCAAGCAATCACAATCGCCTGGCAACTTTGCTTCCCCACGGCCCGCTACGAGCAACACCGTTGCCTCTGCTCTCGGCGCCTCGCACTATCACACACTCCCGCGCCCAACTACTGCCTCGAGACCTCCCCTCTCCCGTTACCAGCGACCGCCTATGCCACAGACACAGTCGACTCCCCCTCCTCTGGCCATCAGCAGGAACTCTTCTTTTGTGAGGCAAGCCGACTCTCCGGCCATTATCCCCGAGTCTAGAGACTCAATCTCTTCCAATGGATCTTGGATAAGGCGTCTCTCCATTCGCCCACTGTCTCGTCACGAAAGCACAAGGTCGAGTATAGGTCCCGACGCGCCTTCCATCTTTTCCCACGGTTCAGCTGCACCCATCTTGCGCAATCCTACAACAGCAACACTCCCCCCAAACAAGCTCGTTAAGCGATCTACCTCAACCCGCATCGATCCAGATCCATTACCGCGACGGCGTGCGAAATCTCACTTACAGATCCTACCCGTTCTTCGCAGACCTGCTACAAGCCATCAGAGGTCTGCAACACTACAACAATTTCGACCCGATTCTGCGCTGAATACACCAACCGATTCGAACAATTTTTCGTTCGACGACCCATCACGACCCCACGAGTTCCTCGCCCCATCCCCGCTTGAGCCCCCCTCCAGATCGACATCTGCAAGGAGCGGATGGAAGTCGTACTTTCACTCTAAAAGATTAAGTATAAGCGGACGTACAGGGCCGGGTAGGTTTGGTGAGTTAAGTCCACATGCTCGAGCAATCTCCTCGAGGCGCATCTGCATTGAGAACGACGAGCGCAACAGAGTTCATCTGGTGAAACCAAGAATGGTTTCAGCGGCATCTGCCCCTCGAGGTCTGTTGCCAGCTGCACAAATTCTACTAGACACTTGCACTCATCAATCTCCTGCAGAAGAAAAAACTCCATCATCTGAGGGAACTCCTTCCAGGACGCCCCGCAAGTCGATCTCAATGCCATTTGCATCTGCAGGAAACTGGGCGGTAAGGACGACAGGGAGCATCCGGCGCTCTAAGCGTGGTGCTGAATCCGGGATCGGGAATAAGCGACATGTGTCGGAACCGCTGAGTGGCGCGCAATCTGGCGCCGAACCTCGAACCAATCCGCCGCTGGAATCAACACTCCGCGCACCATCACCATTATCGGGCCGGCAGGGGTCATTCCTGGGTTCAGCTGCTACTGTGCAGTTGAGAGGTCGTAAAAGGAATTCATCGTCACCAATCCCCACGGTTCCAAGACTTGCGAACTTCAATGTTGATTTGTCCCGGTTAGGGTCTTCTGCTGGAGTTTCCACTTACCAGGCTCGGCCTAACCAACCCTCCGGAAGTTCTACCAGCTCCACTGCGATGTCACAACTTAGGGCACCGCAGCACGACAGAACCTCCACCATGGAGAGCTCTGAAGGTGACACCCGGGATTGCACATCGGGGGATGACGATGACACGGATTTCAAGAGTGATACCATGTTTGACTCGCTGCGCACTGTTGGCTCCGGACGTGCCCGTGCTGTCGAGACCCCGTTGGAGTCCATGTATGACGAGTCACCACCAAGCACCGCTGGCAATGGTACAAAGACGAAGCGTCTTTCAATCCACGAGATCCTCGGCCGGACATGGGATGAGGATGACAAGATCATGGAGGAGGATGAGAATGCATCCACACCTGTCCGCACAGTCAAGCGATCTGAGGCATCACCGCGCTTCAGGCTTGAGTCGAGATTTAACCCATCGTCCTACGATGTCTTAACCACTACGACCAAGGAGTACAGCAGGCTGTCCTTGGACGACGAATTTGACGATGATTGGGCTAGAGATGATGAGTTTCCCTGTAACCCCTTATCACCTCCCTCCAAAGGGAGTTCACTGAATTCCAGAGGAATTAACCCTAATGTTCGCCTCGCCCTCGCCAATATTAGTGGTAATGGCCTCCCTGATACGAACGGCCACGATGCTACTAATGACCGCCCACTTAGCACTCTCTTCGACTGGAGCGAACCCCCGACACACGAAAGATTTGATACTGGACGGAGTTTGCGACCAAAGACTGCTTATGCTAAGGAGATGGACTCTAGAGGTGGTCGCTCCGCCATACGCAAAGGTCCAACACCAACTCATGTTCGAAGCCAGAGCGTCCCCGTGGTTCATGATGCCCCCGAAGATTCCAAGACTACCGGGTCCAAGTATGGCACATGGGGCATGGGCACCAAGACAGTCAGTGAGGACTGGGATGACGACTTCGAATTTGGTGCTGGTCCTGTTGGCAGCAACGAGAAGAGTGACAAAATTTTTGCAGTGCCAGAATCGATTCGTGCGACACAACCAAGTGTCAGGGCCCATTCCGGCCATATTCGAGAATTCTCGCTTCTTGTCAATGATTTGAAACGTCTGTGCCGTCATGGGCGAGATATGGATATGCTCGAAGGATCTCAGAAGCATCTCTGGAAGGAGGCTGACGGTATTATTGCTCTCGCATCCCCCGATGAAGAGTCGTTGGACGAGAACGATGATGAAAAGTCAACTTCATCTATCAACTTTGATGCATTCGATATTGACGAAACGTTCGGAGACGAAGGCTTCGATGCCCATTCCATGAATCGCCTCGATGCCGCCTTTGATGGCCACGAGCCCGCTATGTCCAAAACCACTGTCGTTCGAGAACGTCACTCTCCCCGGCGAAGATCTGTCTTCTCTCCAGAAGACGATATCTTCGGTAATTGGCCTTTGAATGACAACTCCCCTTCCAACAGACCCAGTCGCCCTCGAACACCTGAGAACAAGTACAACAAGGCTCATGACGTATCGGGGGTCGTCCGTTCTGTCATTGGGGCTATGCAACATCGTGCTCCCGAGCAAGCACCTGACAACGGCAAGGTCCACTTCGATACAAATAGCCTCAAGGCTCTGGTCAAGAGAGCCGGCGATTTACGAGATACACTGTCCGACATTGTTCGACAGGCCGATCAGATTACGCACAGTCCAATGAGAACACCCAGACATGAGCGCCAGCATGACTCAAGCCCTGCCTTTACACGGGTCTTTGACGACCCCGGTTCGAGTCCTCCTAGAAGAGTGGCACGAAGCCGCGGCAACAATTCACTTAGGGAAGCCGCATCATCCGAAAACTCGCCATCTTCTGGCCTACCACAACGGATGCAGATGATGACTGTCAACTGATGAGTCTGCATCCTGGTGCTCTGTTTTACTTGAGCGTGTATAAAACAATAATTACATGGGAATTTATTAGCATAGCGGTGGCCTTTGAGACTCAGGTTTATTCGCAAATATTCAAGGCTGGGAACTCGTTTCATGGACGATCTGTCTCACGCCCCGACATGAGCTCTTCCGACCGACCTGACCCATCTGGATTCTTCTCGTCTATACATATACTTTCAAGACGAAAATTTGTCCATATCCTCGCTTCTGGTGAGCCTCATTGCCCACTGAAGCTAGGTTCTGGACCGGATGGACCCTTGTACGAGGCAGAGCGCACTCGCCATACCACGAGCATAGCTCTTAATGACTTTTTATAAGTAATACGGTAGACGGAACACGAAACGTTGCGGCGCCTATGCCGGTACTCGTTCGCGCGAGTATAGTTTACGAAGTGTCGGTTTTTTTAACGAATTTTCTTGCGTTGTCCCTTTGTGTTTATGAGGAAACGTAATGTTTCGTTTGTTATTCATTTTCTTCCTTCTTTCTGCTATTCTATTCTTGCGGCCCCGAGGCACGCTGTAATGCTTTGATGATTACTCAAACGAAAAGGAAAAACAAGCAGAGGTGGTTGCGAAACAACCTTTTTGCTCGAGAGAATTTACGTCCCTTCGCTCGAGACAACAGACAGAACAATTGTTGCCTACAGAAGCTGCCTTTGACAGGAGGAAATACCAAGCTGGACATACACGGATCAACAGCCATGAGGAAGACAAAAAAGAAGAGAATCACGCAGGGGGACGCTAGCCATGGGGCTGTTTGGGATACATACAGGTTCGGACAGGAAAAGAGCATACGGAGAAAAGGAGAGATGATTGAGTAAAGGCTACCTATAGCTTCTTTATTTATTTTTTTGATGGTTTTGGAGATGTTGCATCGAGGGCGGCGTATAAGTTTTCCAGCTCCAGCCTGCTGTTATGATGCATTCACGCATGGATAGAGAGGTTATAACGGACATGACGATTTATTGCCTATATTTTTGTAGTCTCAGGTTTCGTGAACCTTGGTCGACGTGATGTCTTGTGTCAATATTGGAATGGTTGGTCGGTGGTGGGTGGCTCAGAAGAAACATGTTGGAATCGTGCCACAGGTAATAATGCAAGCTGCGAGGCTATGTTCCTTTAAATCAGGCTAAACAAATTTCTTCTTTTGAGGGACCATAATGGCATGATAGAATGGAGCCTTTCGGAAGTTGTGACATACGAAAGGTTTACAAGTTGAGGCATATGAAGCGCAAGGTTCGAGAGGCTAGTAAATATATCGAGTCATTTATTGATATTTTGATCGATTTGTCATTCGAGTTCGAATGCTTCAGCTACTTTTCTGAGGCTCAGGTTGACTGCGCCGTGTTGTTTGCTACTCATACAACAGGCGTGAGCAAATGCACGCATTGAGACAAAGAAACCCACCCGCGATGTAGAGACCTATCGCGTCCAACGCCAAACGGTTAAAATCAAATGCTAGGGCCAAGGGCCCAGACCAAGACCAAATCAAGTCAAGCACGCTCCTATTTCCTCCAACTGGCTGTTACTGCGGTTCAAATAGCAACATCATCCGCTTTGAAAGCAAGGTATAAAGCAATTTCATGCTATAGTTTCGCAAAATCATGTCCGAGAAATCTGATGATCGTAACGTCATGTCACACAACCCAGCCCCAACCTAGCGGGGGTTGTCGTTGTCGCTGTTTTCCATGCAGGGTTCTGTTACCACAGTTGCACGAATGATAGTCCCTTTCTAAGAGACTTGTCAATCCATGAACCGTCGTCCTTAGTCCCAGGAGCAGGAGACTGTGCGCGAACCCAAAGTCCCTGTGCACTGAAGTCGCGGGGAGTCTCACTGGCGCCGGGGAGAAAGGCGGATGAGGACGAGCCAGGGTAGAGAGGCATAGGGGGGCGGGCCTTCTGAACCCGACCACGTTGAGAAGTGCCAGATGCAATATGCTTCTTATCAAATTCGCTGAGTGTGGGTGTCAATTCGAGGAAGCGGGCAGTAGAGGGCTTCCAAAGCTCATCTGATGCGATGACAGGCTCGCCAACGTCAGCGCCGGGCTTGGACCATAGTTGATAGTTGTCGGAGTCGGGTGCGCAAGGATCCTCGGTGTCCATCTCTGAGGCCTTTCCAGATCCGAGTCTAATGGCCTCGTCCAAGGCAGCGAGCCACTCAGCGGGTGTAGCAGCGGGCCGGGACATCTCTGACTTGATGGAGGAAGCCCTGGTGAGTGCGGGCACGTCAGAAACGACGGACTCGCTATCAGTGAAAGACACAACCGAGGCAGTTCTCGGTCGGACTGTGGAGAGCGCAAGCCAATTGATCTCGGTAACATCCTGGCTAGAAGCGCGCACAGACCAGAGGCTATCTGTGTTGAGCTTCGGCAGAGATTGCTGTGAGATGCGCTGCTTGGGTCGGGTCTCCAGCGCTGCGGGGCTCTCGGACGTAGTACGGAAGTTGTTTCGGCGGTGATTCAGGCTGAATAGGCCCTCCAAAACCAACGAATCAATCTCACGCTGCAACTGAATGGCGGCAGCATTGGCCTTGGAATCCCAGAGAGGGGCCATGTTCCAAAGGTGGGTAAATCCAAAATCAGGGAAGGCCTCTAGAGCTCTTCGTGGTGAGCGTTCCATACCCTGGGCAGCAGGCGCCAATTTCGTTGTGCGGTAGTCGGTGCGCCGGTGGCTGAGGCTAAACAGACCGACCGGCTCTTCATCACCAACGGAAGCAGTAGCGGGAAGAGGCTCCCACAAGCCAAAATTGACCGCCGAGGTCTCGCTAGGTGTAGAGGGTTCGGAGCCGGTGACCGAAGGTGCGGAGCTTGATCCGCTCCAGAGACCATCCTCGGACACGATCTCGGAAATAACGGGTATGGCAGGAGTCCACAATGAAGTGCTATCTACAGGTAGAGGCTCGGCCTCTCTAGGCTTTACTCGGGTAGCATCGTCCTCGACGATGAGATAGGTTGCCCAGGTTTCAGCATCAGGCTGGGGAAGACCGTATGAGATCTTGGCGTTGACTGGCGATTGAGTCCACATGCCTGGTAGCGGTTGTTTGGTTCCCCAAAGTCCAAAGTTGTTGACAGGCGCCTTTTTGACAGGGGCGGTCCAGAGCGAGTTGCTTGTGATGGAAGGCATGTCGGCCTTTGCAGGGAGGAGGCGTGCAGCCTCACCAGCAGGAAGATAAGAGTTCCAGGTAGAGTCGTCGGGTTGAGGGAGTCCTTTGTTGGGACGCGAGGCAATGGTGCTAGGAGTCCACAGAGCCATGGAAATGTTCGGATAGTTTGTTGTTTGCTGAAGAGAAGACTGAGCGGGAATTGATGGAGGATACAACAAGTTAATAACCAAGATTTGTCGCCGGCGTGTCGGGGATTCGGATTTGTAAATGACGAGCGGACTTAGCGGCTGCGGAGTCGGAGAGTCACAATCAAGCTTAAGGTCGGCTGGCTTAGAAATGGAATCCTCTAAGAAACGGAACAGAAGCGTTGCCTGCTGCTGTTGCTGGTGCGGATGCCCTGCGCATGGGGCGCCACGGGACTTAGACTCCCTGTCAGTGCAGGGGTCTAAGATGGATTTGAGCGTCGCATGAGTGCCATTGTCTTTGGTGATTGGTGCGCCAGCCCAATCTTGTTCATTTCGACCCACGTCCATCAATAAGCAGCGAGCCATCAGCGGCACAGGCATGCTTATTGATGCAACTTGACCCCCAAATTGCGGCTGCTGGCGGACCCTGATTCGATTTTTCTCAGAGGCGTGCTCCCGGAGATCCATATCCGGAATCGTCATCGCCATGGTGGTTGTTGAGGTGGGGGGAGCACCAACTGCTGCACCGGCTTTTGCGCTGTAATCTCCAGCCTGTGGGCTTTCGCTCTCGCTGTCGGCGTCTCCATCTTCGTCATACTTTACCTGGGTCTGTGTACGGAGACTTGTCCGATCATTGGCTTTGTCATCTCTGCCGCTGTCGTGCATCTGCATCTGCACATCCTTGGCATAAGCATCCTCGGAAGTCTCGCAATGTTTCAAAAGCTCCGAATCTATACCTTGTCTACAGAGAGAGAAAGATAATCAGCCTCATTCTTGACAATACCCAGGCCAGCCTAGGTCAATGTGGCCGACTTTTACTTACTCATCAATTGACCGAGAGTTTAGTTCGTCCTCGTGAGAAGTTGACATTTTTTCAGGCGGGGCTCCGTGGAAATACGTGTCCGTTGGCTGGGGTACAGGCTGGGCCAGTTCAAAACAGTCCTCATCGTCGCTATCGTACGTTTCGCTCGAATCGTAGTACTCCCCGTCATCCTGCTCGTAGTCTTCAATGTCAAACACCGAGCCGCTATGCTGCATCTGCGTCTGCATACACCCATCCACCATAGGTTGATAAATCATGCCAGGCATGAACATTGGTGCTATTGTCGCACAGTCTGACCGATCACCCCATGGGAATTGGAAGATCCCAAGTGTCCCGCGCCTATCAGGGAGTGGTTTTGGACTCTCCAGGATATCTGGCAGCATAGTGACACGTTTGATGCGACGCGGGGGGTTGCGGGGAGGTTTTGACTGCTGGACCTTAACTTCCACCACTTGGGTTTTGACTTGAGACACTGGCTGCCAAAGTCCGTCACTGGATACCTCAGTCTCTGATTCAGGCTTCTCCCAAAGTCTTGAGCTCTCAATCACGAGAGATCTCATGTCCTTCCTCACCGGTCCTCGAATTGACCTCCCTGCGATTTCCACTGGGGAGATTTTCCTCGGTGGCCTGGGAGCAGGGGTCCAGAGTGACGGTGCATTGCTAGTGCTGGTAACCGCTTGCACGGAAGCTATGGGGCGCCACAGCACCATGGCCGTCTTGGCAGGACTGATCTGGGCATGACCAATGAAATCCTCGTGATCTCCGGCGTATTCGCTTTCTTCATCAGTATCAGGAGGGGTAGGAGTTGCTAATGAGTTTGTAAACCTGGGGTATGTCGAGCTAGCCGCCAA